AGGAAAGACTTGTGGTCAAAGGATATAGACAAAAATAAAGTTTTGATTACTTTGACACATACTTACCAGTTACTAGAATAATATCCATTAGAATGGTAATTGTGATTGCATCTTTGTACAATCTAAAAATTCATCAAATGGATGTTAAAACAATTTTTTTAAATGGTGAGTTAGATGAAGAAATTTACATGAAGCAACCAGAAGTTTTTTTGTTCCAAGGAAAGAAAAGAAAGTGTACAAATTAGTTAAATCATTATATGGTTTAAAACAAGCGCCAAAGCAGTGGCATGAGAAATTTGACAAAGCAATGATGTCAAATGGATTTAAAATTAATAAATGTGACAAATGTGTATATTAAAAACACAGACAACGGTTATGTTATAGTATGTCTTTATGTGAATGATATGTTCATCATAGGTAGTAATAATGACATGATTAAAACTACCAACAAAATGTTGAATAAACATTTTGACATGAAGGACATGGGGATTGCTGATGTAATTCTTGGTATAAAAATTTCAAAAACATCTGAAGGTTATGCTTTGTCACAATCACATTACATTGAGAAAATACGTGACAAGTTTAGCAAAGATGATGATCATCTTGCTAGAACACCTGTGGCTAGAACACCTGTGGATGTTAATTTATTTCTTTCTAAGAATGTACAAGACAGTATTTCTCAATTAGAATATGCCCAAATTATTGGAAGCTTAATGTACTTGATGAACTGCCCTCGTCCAGATATAGCATATGTTGTAAGTAAATTAAGTAGATGTACAAGTAATCCGTGAGTAGAACACTGGAAAGCAATTATAAGAGTTCTAAGATATCTCCAATTTACTCGTAACATTGGGCTAAATTATACTAGATATCCTACAGTACTTAAAGGATACTGTGATGCAAACTGGATATCGGATACTAGAGATTCAAAATCCACCAGTGGGTATGTCTTTACACTTGGTGGGACAGCTGTATCTTGGAAATCTTCCAAACAGACTTGCATTGCTAGGTCTACTATGGAATCAGAATTTAAAGCTTTAGATAAAGTTAGGAAAGAAGCAGAATGACTTCATCACTTCCTTGAAGATATTCCAATGTGGCCAAAACTGGTGCCTGTTATATGCATAAATTGCGATAGTCAATCAGCAATAAATAGACCACAAAGTCATATGTATAACAGTAAGTCACGAACATTCGTCGTCGACATAACACCGTGAGACAACTACTCTCTAAGGGAATTATTTCCATTGAATATATGAAGTCTAAAGACAACATAACGGATCCACTAACTAAAGGGTTAGCAAGAGAGTTAGTTGAGAATTTATCGAGGGGAATGGGACTTAAGCCTATTAAATAAGAGTTACCACAATGGAAACCCAACCTAGTTGATTGGAGATCCCAAGATCTAGGTTCAAAGAGACAACCGAGTTGTGTATGACTCATAAGGATCACTAGGGAGTCAAACTCCTACTTATTTCTATGATACAATAGTGATGTCTGCAGCGTTTTAGGTTAAGTAATACTTTTAATGATTCTTATATCTAGGAATACCTAGTGGAGTATGGCAGGATACTCTTCATAAGAATCACCTATATGAGTGCGAATTGGGCCGATTCTATGAGATTCGTGAAGGACTACAATTCTCTAGAGCACTTATGAAAGACCAGGTTGTTCAGGGCCAAAATGAACACAATAGTAAGAACTAAACTGTGTCTGGTGATATACTGTGTGAGTTCTATTGTCTTGGTTTACACAAATGGCTGAACAATTCAAGACATCATGTTCACTGATTAGCTAGCAAATCTGATAGTGTCTCACAAGAGAATGTTCAAAGCCAAAAGCTACCCATCTTTTGTAGAATATTTTCAATTTTTGTACTCTCTGTAATTATATCATGTTGTTGCATTATTTCTCCGTCAAATTCCATTCATGTGGGAGATTGTTGGAAAATTTGATTTTTATAGGCTTATTTTGGGCCAACTTTGAGCTCAAATTTGAGTAGGGTCCACACGTCTTTTGAGGTAGGTCCAAAGAGGTGACGTGTTCCTTGCCGCATGACAAGTTGCACAGTACAAACAGTTCGTCAAAACCATTTACGAGTGAATGGAAATTTGACGTCGTTTTTGAGTTCGTGGAATGGATAATTGAAGAGTCAAAGTGGGTTTCCTTGAAATGGATTGTCCCACATTGAAACTTGAAGAGAGCTTGTATGCGTTTATAAGCTCTAGGTGGGAATACTTGGGTTGGGCCCCAAGGGGCACCCCAAGTTTATAGAAGGGAGGCGTTATGGACAAAGTGGTCTTTGGCTCAAACCACCACGCACGCGCGAGCGCCGCCCATCCGACCGGCCGTGCCGAGTGTGGGTTGTGGGTCGAGTCGGTTCTAATATTAAGTTTTTGGACAAAGTTTATTTGAATTTTTTCCAACAAATTCTTATGGGAAAATTAATTCAAATTTTGTGCCATATTTGAATTCAATTTTTCCTATCCATACAGTGCATTTCTAGTCCAATTCCAGCAAGTTCAAACTTATTTTTAACAGTTTTAAAACTGCCTAGTAGTTATCGACAGATTGAAAATTTCAAGCAGATCTGTTCAAATTTAAATTGCACCTGTTCGGTTTAAAACTGCATCTGTTTGGTTTGAAATTCAGGCCTATTTGGCCCTATAGACACTAGGACATCTTCCAGCATTTGGTTTATTCCGAAAATCATTTTCTTGCTTCCTTTGTGCTCTCTTTGCATTATTCTACATACTAGTTTTTAGGAAAAATTCAGAGAGTATAGAACACAAGTGCAACTTCACCATACAGATTGTTTGGAGTGCTACTACAATCTATGTAAAGATCATTGTTTCCTGAGAGATAGACACCATTTATCCGTAAGCACCGAAGCGGAGCGAATCTGTGTTAAGGACAGAGTGTCACACACTCGACTTGATCTATTTTTGTACTTATTCACTTCGATAAATAAATTTTGTAGGTCATTTAATTTTATTTGTTTGATTTGGTGTCAAGTTATTTATTTTACATGGAAGATTGTTCTGACACTTTCAAGCATAGATTAGATGGTTTAGCAACTGATTTTATCTCTTATGTGTTCAAATATTCTCCATTGTTTGAAATAATCTTTCGCGACAATAAAATGAGAAAAAGTTGGTTCACTTATACTTGAAACTTATATTTTCTTCACTGTTTCAGATTTTATCAGATGAAAAATGCTCTAATAAATTGAAAATAACTTGTGTTAAAAATTTGTTTTTCCTTGGAGTATATATAGGTGTTCTATACCGTGTGAAATTTTTATGAAATTATTGGACACCATTTTCTTACCGAAATAAATATTTGTTCTAAGTGTTGCTTATAATGCAGTAGGAACAGTGACTTCAAACAGGTCCCATTTTCTATGAAAATGTTATTTTTCAGCACGACCACTTGGGATAGTTAGATATAAGAGTTATCTTTCATTTTCCGCCGATTTCACAAAAAATGGATAAGTCTAAGAGGAGAAATTGCAATTTTACTAAAATGCGATAGAATCTGTCCAAGTTTATTAGTAAAATTATTTGACCATCTTCCATTGTTTTCAGTCTTCAAGCTCTCTATAACTATGTTGTAAACTCAAATATATAGCAAAACATTCTGATCTTACCTCTTTTTGACATCCTTTGAGGCCCCTTTTTATTTTTCAAACACAGAACACGTATGCTGGAAGTTGCTATAACTCACTGTCTCAGAAACCAGTTTTCTTCCAAGTTTTATTTCTCCATTTTAAAATCATTTTTAGCCCTGGTATTCTTCTCAAAATGTTTTCCTAACTCAATGAACTAGTACCAATTAAAATATCGTAATAATTGAATTTAGTTTGGTATAGGTTTCATTATTTTTAGTCCGATCATTTAGTGCTTAAAATAAGAAGTGTGGGAAATTCTAAGAAATTTTGTGATGACTCCTAAGACATTCTATAATTCTTATTTTGGTTGCCATACGTGGTTGTGTTGTGCTATATGAACCTTATGTCACTGTGGTTTTCAAATTAAAACTCGCTCATGCATCAATATGTGATTCGACAAAGTAAAAAAACACGAAATTGAACCGATGCATTAAAAGTTAAAAATGATGGAGTGAGCCCAGTTTAAAGTCTTGCGCAAGTGAGTTGTGAACCCTAACATGGCATGGGAAGGTATTTTGGCTCTTATCCGTATAGGCGATATAAGGTTGGTGGTGCGAATGTCACAACATGGACCATTCCCGTGGGGCAGACCGTGATGTCACGACTTGGGTACGTAACCTTGGTGCGTGGGCATCATTGGTAGTTACAGCAAGTAACATTTGAATATTTGACCAAGAGGGAGTCAAAATTGCCCGTGGCCATTGCTTAGCAGTAAAGTGGAAATAGTGCTCCGCGGGGAGTTACTTAGACTTACCTGATAAACTAAATCTATGTGAATTTAAAATAAAAATTGGCATTTTCCTTATGATGAAATACTGTTTCTGCTTGCCATTGTTCTTATTGTCTATTGTTATTATTTCAACTGATAGAATTCTTACTATCCATATCAGACACTACTTGTTACTCTACTACTACACAGTATTCATTAATTGTGAGTATTATTATCGAGGTGGGAATTTCGGGTTGTAGTATCTAATTGAACTCGCCGCTCATTGGCATTCCCGTTGCCCTGGCGTTTTATGCCAGGTATCAAAGAAACCGAAGGGAACACCGAGGTCTTGGAAGGCGACATTCAGCCTTGGTTAGCTTGAAGTTTGCCTATGTCCCATGAACCATTTTTTTGAGTTTTCTAGTTTTTCTCTAGTTTTCTTTTTATATTTGTGTTTTTCTTTCATGAATGTACTAAGACGAAGTTTTAAGTTTAATTGGAGTTGTAATTTAAGAACTTTTTATTTTTGTTTTGTTAATTAATGGATGATGGCAAACTTGGTGGCAACAATGATTAGTTCTTATGTAAGAAAATTGATTTTAAGTTTTAAACCTTGTTATGATGTCCTCAAATTTTGGGGCATCACAAGTCTCTTTCCAAACTCAATACTTACTCGCTTCAATGCTCTCTGATGATGATTTTGTGGGGAGGTTTCTTAATGAGAGCTCGAGGAGGCTAGAGTGCAGGCACAAAATTTTCACAAAAGGATTGAAAGAGGTAAAATGTTAGCATATCTCGTATGTCGGTTAGTTTAATTGCTTGTGAAATTAGCATTAATTCTATTACAATTGCAATTTTTTAAAAAGCATTTTCGACAATGAAATTTATATATAAAAAAAAATCGACTGCATAGTTGAATGGAAAATAAGTTGCTATGTTTATTTGAAAGTATTAATAACAAATTTAAAAAATGAAACTCAATGAGGGTAATTTTACAAGTTCACATATGTACATTTTTTTTTTCTTTGTGATTTGAGAAGTTTAAATTATTATATTTTTTTATTGATAAAGCGTGATTTTTAAAAAAAATATATATTTTTTGTAAAATTTAAGATTTTGAATATTTATCATAATAAAAATGTCTGGAAACGCCACTGCAGATGGGGATCGATTGTTTGAATACGAATGCTGGACTTTTCTACTGGATGGATTTGTACTTGTTGCTCAAAGAACCAACTATTGAAGCTAAAATGGCACTATGGCGTGTGATAATCAACGATGTGAAACTCAATGTCTCTTCGGGATCATCTTTTCACTGCACGGAGGTTGGTTGGTTTAGGGTTTGCTTTGCTAACATAGATGATGATACAATTGAAATTTCATTGCAGAGAATTCGAACATTTGTGACTAAGAAGAAGGAAGGAGAAGTGGCTATAGTGAAGAAGAAGAGGTGGCAAATGAATCTTCGACTGAGTTTCTCGTCTCGGATATACAACGACGGTCTCAGGTCGCCATTGAGAGGGTAATTTATGTGAATAAATTGGGCCGAGCTAAATCCATTTTTGTTTTGGGCATTGGGCCGAGCTATGGGCCAAGCTGTGAATATAAATAGCCTAGTTATGGGCCATCTAGGTACTGAGCTATGCGAGATGTCACCAGGGCCCTGACCCAGCTGTTTAAAGCTAACCCCTGTAACGGACCGGCGTATTAGTAAGAAAGAGGGCCATGCTAAATATAGCTCGGCAAGGTGCCGTCCTGCAGTGAGGGCTATCTCAGTACTGCCTAGAGTAGCACAGAGCTATGTTAGCTCGGTTGATTGTCGTTCCAGCCGAGGTAAGAATGTTGGAACCATCTCACTTGGTTGGCAGTGAGTCAGGTGTTATCAGGATAGGCATTATCCTTAGGAATGTGTTTCCTAGAAGAACTCTGCTGAGAAGAGTTAGAGTCCTACTCGGATTGAACCAGGTAGATTCTATAAAAACTAATGACAAAACCTATGGAGAGGTATTGCAATTCTTACCCTCAAATACACAGAGCTTTTGTGTCTATCGTCTATTTACTGACTTAAGCATCAGAGAGGTTTCTGGCACTCCCCTACCGGCTAACTCACGTTTGTGTTTTTAGGTAGTAAAGCGATGACGTTTGGAGGAGCGTAAACTTGTTCAACAGGATTATATGAGAAGATTATTCTATACTCGTACAGAACAAATGGTGTATTAGTCCCAAAAATATTATAAGAAAAAAAAAAGGATCGCTTAGGATACAAGTCTAAATATATGAGATTAGGTGGAACACAAGAAAACTTTATGAACTTATTGGGCTATAAGTCCTCCAAATGGAATTTATAAATAAATCTCTATTCTTAATAAATGCCTTATGACACGAATAAATATTCAATATTCTTGGAGCGTCATGTATTTATACTCTTTTACTAATCATCAGACACCATACCCCTTCATATTCATCAATCACCTGACAAAATCATAATACCCCACATTCTCTATCAATCATAATACTATGGAGTAGGGGTGTTCGCGGTTCGATTGCTGCCGGGAAACTTTTAATTCGTCATCCGTCCGCTGGATATCCGCATCCATCCGCCGAATTGACGGATGCGGATTGAGCGGATTGGCGGATGGATACAAATCGGTTTGGCGGTTTAAACTTTTTTAAATTTTAAACATAATACAACAATTTGTCAACATTTTTTTTGGATAACAATCTAACTCAACGTAACTAAAAGATTATCAAATAAATTGTTAAATACCAATAATAAATACATATAAGAAAACTATATATTATCAAAACTATTTCATTATTTTTTTTATTCAAAAACTATTTAATTTGATTTTTAAAAAAATGACAAAATTAAGCCTTATATTTTCCACAAAAAAAATAACAAATATCAACCTTTGCCATTTGATAAAAGGATTTCCAAATTGAAAACACAACAGAATATCTAAACTCTTTTTCAATTGAAAATATAAATAGAATATCTAAATAAATTGAAAACACAAAGTCTTACAACTTACTAGGGGTGCTCGCAGTTTGGTGGTTCGCTTACAGCCAAAGGAACCTCTAATCCATCATCTGTCCAATACTAAACGGATAGAAAAAAATTAATTTGCAATTATTCGTTTGTCATCACCAATCCGTGCAAAATGCAACAGATCGGTTCGGTTTGGACAAATTAGAATATCCGTTATTCACTCCTACTATAGAGTATCAGGTGGTCATATCCTAGGAGTTTTTAATAATCACTCATTAACCAGACCTAAAAATAAATATTTTAAATAATTTATAAAAATTAGGTCAACACAAAAAGCGGTTAAAGATAAGAATGATAAACAATATTATAAAATCGAGAGTTAATTTTTGTTTTTTTTTTGTTTTTCTTTTTATTAGGTTAGATGGAAAGTTTCATTTAAAAAGTATTGTTAACTAGTTTTAATGGCATACATTGTCACTGCAATGTTATTGATTAAATTTTATCGGTGAAATCATTAAATAGCATTTATTACACACCTTAACAATAGTCATTGTTATAAAATGAAATGCCCAAATTAAGACACACTATTCCACGTGAAAACCTTTTTTTTTATTTCACTTTATTTATTTATTTTTAAACAGTCTCCTATCTCTCTCTCTCTCAATAAACAAGTATAACACCCTGTTTAGATTGGGGAGAAAAGGAAAAAAAATTAGTTGAATGATTTCACATCACTTATCTGAATGGTTAATGAGATGAATAATGGTGAAAAAAGAAAAAAAATTATCCCAAACTCAAAATTTTGATTCTCACCAAAATTATTCTTTATAAAAAAAATTATAATATATGAACTAACATTTTAAATACAAAGTAAAAAAGACGTATGTATCATCTTTTAATTATTTCCCATTTAAATAAAAATATGAGATATCATAATAATTTATTTTATTTTATTTGTTATACTGTAGGATGTTATGAGATTTGAAAGTTAAATTATAACAAAAAAAACTCTATTGATTCAAATTTTAAACTTCTGACTTTTTTACTGTTCTAAAAAATAATTACATGAATCACTTTGTTAACAGCTCCGTCCTTTCTTTTTTATTTTCTTTATTTTCCCATCTCACGATTTAAAGAATTCAAACAGATTATAAATATTCAGAAGCTAAATATAAAATGGGACAGAAAAATTGGGATCCACATGTGGACCCATTCATAATGTGACATCTGTATTTGGTGTCTGTATTTTTAACATTAGAACGCAACAAATACCGCAGAATATAATGCTCCAAACCGCTATAAATTCAATTCTTGTGAATGCCCACTTCACCACCTCTCTCACCCTTTCTCTCTCTAGAAATATGGGTTTTGTGCCAGTCAAAGCTCTTGTCCTCATACAGCTCTCATCAGTGCTTCTACTGAGCGCTGTGTATGGTGATGTGGTTGATTTGGTGAGCCGGGCACAGCCACCACACCACCATGCTCCAACCTACCCACCAACTGAATCACCCAAATACCACAAGACCCACCCACCCAGTCCCAGTCCTCACCCTCACCACCACCACAACACCCACCTTCCTCCACCGGTTCACCCTCCGAGTCACCCATACCGTCACCCACCCACTTATCTCCCAAAGAGGTGTCTTGTTGCTGTTCAAGGGGTTGTTTTTTGCAAGCCCTGCAAGTACACTGGGGTTGATACCCTTTTGGAAGCTACCCCACTTCTTGGTTAGTTCATCACTTCCTCTCTTTGTATTTTCGTTCTGTTTGTTTAAGCATAAAACATTATATATGCATTTATTTGACATTTTGTAGTGTTTGAAATATTGCAAAATAAGAGTTAGCTCGTTACTTTTTATTTACGATCTGTTGTTTGAGCAGAAAACATTATAGTATATATATTTGACATTTTGTAGTGTTTGATCTAATAAAAAATAGAAGTAAATGGAAAATATTTTTGGTGATAAAGGAAAAATAAATTTATTTGAATATAATTTTTTTTTATTTATAAAAGGCATAAAAATGTTTGTGACTACAGTTTTATCGATGCCCATATAGTAACTTGTGAATGCATGAATGTAGTCTTGTAAGTTGAGTTAATCTAGATTCTCTAGAGTGATTTTTTTTTTTTTAATTGAGATTTGATTTTACAAAAAATGAGGGTACAATAATATTTAGAAAAAAAAATTTCAAAAATGTTTCTGAAAAAATGGAAATTAGTTTTGATAAAAATAAATATTAAAATATAATTTTATGGTTTTAACAATTATTTCTGACTTCCATAAAGATAAAATTATATAAAAATGATAATTCTTTCTCTTTTTTTTTATGAAATTAATTTCTATTTTTTTAAAAAAAATTTCTGAAACAAATTTTTAAAAACCAAATCAAACATAGCCAGATTTCTCCTGTTAACATTTGATAGCATGTTCTTTTTGTGTTAATACATTTTTAGCTGTGTGAAGTTGTGAGAATTTCAGTTCAGTTAAAAAAAAAAAAAAGTTGTGAGAATTTCAAAATACGTAAAATT